AAAAGAAGTTAATCCCATGAGTGAAAAATCGTGGGAAGAAGCACACATTAGCCTCTAGTAAGATACTAGCTTAGCCCACGCGGCGGCACGCCACATCCCGTCGATATGCTACTAGATCGGGTTCGCGCCTTGGCGCGAGAGTGCCGGTCCCAACGTTTTAACCAAGCAGGTAATGCTCAAGTTAGTAAGAACCCTCATTTAGCATATGTATTCAAACAAGAAAACGAAAAAAAAGAAACATTAACTTGTAATATAAGCAATACAACAAAAGATAACCACTTGACATTAAGTTAGTACTAAGAGCGCAAACATGAGAGGAAGTACTAATCTAATTTTTTTTGCAACATATCCATATATAGGCAAAGCAGATACCCATTATAAGCTAAATTTATACCAAAAGCAAATTCACATTTCACTACAAAGGAAACATCTCCAAAAGCAGGTAGTAAACACTTAATAATGGTTCAGTATAAAACATCAAGGTAACACACTATTGGAAAATTTCATATGAAATGTATATACCGAATCATACTTGTTGTAACAAATATACAAATATACTCAGAACAACCTGGTCCTCAACATTCGCTTCTTTCTTCAAGTATATTGGAATTCCAAAAGGCACTCTTGGGGCGCGGTGCCCTGTCCAGCACCATGGTCCAGCACTCAGATCCAAACCAAAAGGCAGGTTATAGTTCACTACCATAGAAAGATAGATAGTAGAGATGGTGTTGTACAATCGTTATTCCAAAGACTTGGAAAGAACCTACACTTACATACAATTGAGAAAATAAAAATCATGTAATACTCCTTAAGAGCAAGGGGGAAATGGGTGGGCCAGGGGCGGAGGCGCGCAGCCACGGTGGACGGTGGTGCGGGCGTTGGAGTCCCTCCTGGAGAAGTGGAGATCGATCTTGCCGCCCTGCACCCGGGCGACTGGCGGCGGCTGCGCGAGCATTTCATCTTACTCTCTCCGTTCCTAAATATTTGTCTTTCTAGAGATTTTAACAAGTGACTACATACGAAGTAAAATGAGTGAATCTACATTCTAAAATATGTCTACATACATCCGTATATTGTAGTCCATTTGAATGTCTAGAAAGACAAATATTTAGGAACGGAGGGAGTATTTTTTTACCAACAACGCTGAGTCTCCTATGCCTCGTGCGTGCGCGCGCTTCTGGTGTGACAGCTCATCAAGGCTTTGGGCCTTCTTCTTTTCGCTGGGCTGCAACCCGGGCCTGCAAAAAAACCTATATGATTAAATTCTCCACGCCCCGGGCCCAGCTCCGCCCCTGCACATGGTGTATTAACTTTTAGGTGCACTACACAAACTAACTAATCAGATTGGAGTATGTATAAATGTCTTTGTGACAACACTGGTCATCAGATTTAAAGTTTAACTTATTTCTTATTTTGTTAACATTAATCAGTGATGATTTATTAATAAATAAGTTTTGGTGCATATGTTTCATATGTAGATTGATATTAGTTGCAGTACACAAAACACACAAAAGAAGATGGTTGTTTGGTACAAGATAAAGTGTGCCAGCTAATGGCCCGCATATGCCTACACCCGATCTATTGCATTATCTATGGATCGGAATTGGGTATGCTATATTGAACTACAAGATCAGAAACCAAGCTAATTATGTTATGTTCATTGTCTTGATAGTTTCTGTTTTGTGCAGATTTATATTTTTGTTACACTTCATAAGAGAGAATGTAAATCATTCTTGCCATCTCCTTCCTGTCACGTGATTTCTGCTTTGGTAAGAGGCGTGACGGATAGACTACTCAGGGACAATGAGTAGTTTATGAATCTTTGGATTGATTTTTAGGTCCTCTCTCTAGTTGGTTAAGAAGCGAGGCAAGAAGGGCAAGCTACTTGGGACAGAGTACGTACATTAGGGAAATAGATAGTGATGGCTGCCTATTTAGATGTAGCACATTTATCTTTCACATGTAACATTGGAACTATGTCGAATTATGAAACATATTTGAAAGTATAACGAAATTTGCGTGATGAATGAGTATGTACGGTTCTGTGAAAGGTAACATGAACTGTAAAAGCATGTTGTTTTTCTGAAAACCCACACACAAGTGATTCTCATATAAAAATCACTTCTAAGGATAGTATATTGGATGCATTTGGGCATTGGAGATGGTTGTCTATGGGCACTGGAGATGGTTGTCTATGTTAACTGCCTATGGTAGATTATTGCCGCAGAAAACTACCTGCGCCGAGTCAGGTATCAATGACACAAGCTTTGAGGCAGAATTGGGAACCCGCACCAGCCCATATGCCCAAAATGCTTGCAAAACCCGATTCTATACTAGTGTATATATACATTGTAATAATGTTGAATATACTTGGAGATGTAAGACACATTTGTACAAACTTTATTGCAATCACACACACTAATATAGAATTGGGTTCCTAATCTAGAACTTTATTACAAACTTTATTACAACCAATAAAAGGGGCGAATGTCGATGGCAAACTTCTACTAAAAACATTCTTAATCTAGAACTTTTTTTGGTTAAACCCAATCACACACACTAGAAAGCTCTTTCAAGGTATATATTTGTAAGACCTTATGGATATGAATCTTACTAAGATCTTTAAGAAATAAAACTATGGGCACATATACAATACACACACACACACACACACACACATATATATAATATAATTTATGCAACTCACACAATAATCCTTCAAGACATGTGATTTTGTCCTTTATATATTTTTATTTATGTATTTGAATGGATTTTAAAATTTGCGGTGTAAATGGATTAATTTATCAAAATCACATTTAAGGGCAATTATTGTCTGGTAAAAAATCAAGCATAATATTTTCTACAACATAGACTGTAAATTTAGCAAAGATGTATTCCTTAATGATAGATGTTATGACGTTGTAACAAAAAAACATATGCTAATAACAACGTTATTACATGTAATTACGATAACAAAAGCAGTAAAGAAAAAATATATAACTTAGGAGTGTGAGTCAAGAACATAAATTATAGATAACTATAGAAGTTTAGTACAAATACTATTCGATTTAAACTTGTTACACATAAACACGTAATTTGCGAGTGACATATTGCGGAGAGAACATAAATAATGGATTATATTTTTAACTTGTAAGGTGCTATTTGGTGATTATTTTATTTTAATCGGAAAACATAAAGGTTCATGTGGCTCTAACAGATCATTAATGTTTTACATGTTAAATATAAATGTTGACCAGATATCTTAACTCATTTTCAATTTTTACACCGGCTCGAGTATTATTATTTTAGACAGGGATATGTTTTTGAGCTTGATAAAGATTTGAGGTGCATGTGATTTTTATACGATTCAAGTTTTTTTTACGTGATTTATGATATTTTGATCATTTATATTAATGCTATGTTGTGAATCACTTTAACAATACTCATTGGGATGTCGTCTCAATAATGTTACTAGTGTCCAATATAGATGATATTTTTTATACCATGTCACTGAGTTTCGGGTAGTTCCGAAAGTGTTTCAGATAGTCCAGAAGGCTTCTGGGAATTCTGAAAAGTGTTTTGGAACTCCGGGTCTATATATGGAAAGTTTTCGAGAGTCTCGGAATGGCTTTCGAAGGCATCCAAAAACTCCGGAATTTTATTTGTGGAATTTTATTTATAAAGGACCGTCATGAGATGACCATCCTAGTGGAAAAAAATTCTTGGGGCGCCACCTCTCCTTCATCCACCTACTTAGACACACCAATCCAAAAGAAAGGGATGTCTCCCCTTCTAATTGGCTCTTAATTAGACACACACTCTAATCTCATCTAATTGGTCTAGTAATAGAATTAGACTCCTACTTAGACGAGAAGCGCCAACAGGCTTTCTCTCTCTAGTTTCCTCACAACTCTTCTTTTTTTGGACGTCGAAACTCTGCCGAACTACTACTACTACTCCCACGTAATGCGTGGATACCTCGGAGGGGTCGTCTACTGTGACTCTCGTCTCGGAGAACGTTCTCGTGGCCGGGTGGCATAACCCAGCCGCGGGAATCAGCAGGAATTTCCACGCTGCACCGACTCATCACTGCTTCCGCTACCCGCTCGCCGGTGAGTTTGACGTCACCTCCATCTTCATAGTGTTTTCTAGGTGTGATCGTGTAGCATATTTTTTTTGTGCGTACCACGTTCCCCTACAGGTCTGTATCAGACGGTTCTTGCGGGATTCGGTCGGCGTTTGTCTTCAGTGTGTCCCCTCGAATCCGGTCCTCGTTTGTCTGTATCCGTGTGTCTTGGTCAATTTTGTTTTCAGAAGGAAAACAAAATTCAACACACGCACACATACCCATGCACATTCGCTGCTGCTGCGGCGGTGCCTCGGGCACGGCCAAGCCCCACCCCGGAAACCCGCGCGCGCAAGTGGCCAAAAGTCTCGTCAAACCGCCAACCAACCAATGAATTTCGTTTCTCGCGCACGCGGAATTCGAATTCCAACGCTCATCCGCATTTAAAAACTTTTAAATCCGTTCCAACCCAACCCTCCCTCTCAATCAACCAAACAAGAAGAAAAAAAAGAGCTCGCTCAGCTCAGCGGCGAGAGAGAGACACTGCCACTCCCCTTCCTCCCACACTCAGCTCCGCTCCTCACCCCACCCCAGGCGCCGCCGCCGCCGCAGCACCGGCGAGCTCCCCACGCTCCCCGCCGCCCGCCCGCCCGCCAGCAGGCACCGCAGGCACCGCGGTCCGGGGCGCCGACGGAGACCTAGGCGCGCGGGGACCGGATCTCGCCCAGCCTAGCCGCGACGCCATTCGCTACCCCGACCGGCCTCGCCCCGCCCGATTCGCCGCCGCCCGGGCCGCCTCGCCCCTCACCCCGGCCTCGACTCCGGCATTTGACCAGGTACCGACGGATCTGCTCTCCCGCATCGTTTTCCTCTCCTCCTCCCCGCCCCCGGATTTCCCGCTCAGATTCGCTTCTCCCCTCCCCTCCCCAGCCAGATGGACGCGGATGAGGCGCTGGGGTTCCGGGAGGACGACGCCATCCGCTTCATCTTCGGCGAGGACGTCGCCGCCAGGGCCGACTCCGACTGCCCCAACTCCACCGCCGCCGCCAGCGCCTTCGACAGGTCGCTCGCGGAGCTGCGCGTCTTCCAGGAGGTCTTCTCCAGGCCGCCGGGCCACAAGCAGGCCGCGGGGAGGCCGCGCTTCGGGGTGGCCGAGACCTCGCTGCTCCCCGGCGCCCACTTCGCCGCGCAGCGGCCCGCCGACGCGCTCCGGGCCCGGGCAGAGGCGGGCCTCGGCCTCAAGGCCCAGCCGCCCCCGCCGTTCCGCGGCGACCACATTGTGTCCGCCCCGGTGCACGCCGGCGCAGGCCTCCCCCTGGAGGGACGCATGCATGCTCACCGGCAGCGGAGCACTGTTACTACGATGGAGGGCAGAGTGGATCTCGGTGTCAGCAATAGAGGGCATGCGCATTGTTACAATGAGCAACAACGCGGCACTGCTGTCCAGGAAGAGCATGCACATTGTTACAATGGCCAGCACGGGACTGCTGCCCAGGAGGATGCGCATGGTCACAGCCAGCACAATGGGATCCAGGAGGAGCATGCACATCGTCACGCCGAGCAGAATGGGGGGATCGATGGGTTGGCTCTGGAGCTGGATGCCGTGCTGCAGGGCTTCTTAGGGTACTGGCCAGGCGGAGCCACGGCCGGGAGCTGTGACCAGCAGCAAGTGTTTGGTGCGGCTGCTGTCGGTATTGGTGCTAACACCGTTGACATGCGCATGCAAGCGATGGCTGAAGACACCAACATTGCTGCTGGGACGTGCGACACGGTCGGGTTTGCTGGCAGCAGCAGCACGAGCGGGGTCGATGATCCCATGCCGTCCTACATGGACGCGCTGGCAGAGTTCTCACAGTTCCAGGCTGACCCTTCTCTTGCTGACCCGTTTTTGTATCAGTGGCTACAAGATCAGCAGCCGTTCCCGAGCGACGCCTCGTGCCTAAGTTATGATCAAGGACAAATTGTTGACAATGGCCAAGCGTTGTACACATGTAGCCCGGCAGATTTACCTGACAGAGGAGCCATAGAATACCCACACTTCAGCAAGCCAGCCTATGATGCCGCAGCGCCACCTCGCCTCTCCCATGATTATGTTGGATCTGGGCAGTTTCTTGAACTTGAGCAACATCCTGAGAAGGGCACGCCCGATGCAAATACTAGTTCGCTAGATGATGTTGATGTTCCTCAGTCCAGCAGTCTACAGTCTGTACCACCTGTTGCTTGTACCAAGAGGACTTTAGGCAGGGATCTTCCTGATCAGTTGGAAGCGCATGCGCAATGCCTTTTCAAGGATGCTGGCTGGACCATCAAGCCACGGAAAAGGAATGACAGGGCTAAGATGGCATCCTATTTCACAGCACCGCACAGGGAAGTGGTCCTCAGCTCACTAACTCAGGCCTGGAAGTTTTGTGGGAACAAATTATACGAAGCTTCTCCCGGTTCACAGAGGGGTAAGCATCAGATGGAGTGGTCAGATGTTGATAAGTTTTGGAAGGACCTCACTGATACTATGGAGTATATCCAGCAGGTACTTGTGAACCAACAAAACGCACTCACACTTCTTGAACGGTGGGAGCTTTTGGATCCTTTCATTGCTGTCGTGTTCATCGGTAGGAAAATTACTGCTCTGCAACAGGGTAGTACTGTCAGAGCTGTTGATAGTTCAATCATTGTTCTTGATGACAACAAGAATATGCCCTCGGAGAGTAAAAGGAAACAGAAAGCCAGTGACCCTTTAACCGCCCGCAAGGTTCAGCCCACTCCTGTGATGATGGGATCTGATTGTGGAGCACGAGCAATTGAGAGCTGCAGCAGGAGCCAGGCTGTACCGAGCTGTCATGATTTGGAAGGTCTCCAGAACAGGGATATTAACCTGAAAAATGGCTACACACAAGGTCAGAATTGCGGGGCAACTGACCGAAATGAGAATCACATTAATCAAAGCACTGAAACCCAGCAATTTTACTCAGGAGCAGCGCTCATCAATAATTCGGTGAAAAAAGCAAGGAAGAAGCCCAAAATGACATTGGATGTTGATGCAAATGGATTAGATGGGTTGTACGCTCAAATATTTATGCAACACTCTATGGGGAGTGTATTTAACCAAGACAGCAACGTAGCGATGCTTGATTTTTCTAATCCAGGAAATATTAACCTCTCTGGAAAACATGGTATTTATTCGTCTGTTGGCACGGTGAAAAAGCATTTGAAAGCTGAATCCAGACCGTTAAAGCTAAATGGAAACAGCCAAAGCGACAAACCTGGCATGCTGTTGCCTCCAGAGAGCAAGCAAATGAGCGTGCTAAATCGTGAGGGTACTGTTAAAGAACCTTTGGAGCATACAATCTCAGGACCTGGTTCTGATGCAAGGGAGTCAGGTGCCGATGAAACCGCCCCTATAGAGTTGGTCCAGAAGAAGTTACCTTCAGAGAGCAACCAAATGATTGTTTTAAGAGGTGAGGGTACTGTTAAAGAACCTATGGAGCATACAATCTCTGAACCTTATTCTAATGCAAGGGAGTCAGGTGCCAATGAAACTGTTCCTACAGAAATGGTCCAGAAGAAGTTGCCTTCAGTGAGCAACCAGATGAGTATGTTAAGAGGTGAAGGTATTGTTAAAGAACCTATGGCGCATACAATCTCTGAACCTGATTCTAGTGCAAGGGAGTCAGGTGCCAATGAAACTGTCCCTATAGAAATGGTCCAGAAGAAGTTGCCTTCAGAGAGCAAGCAGAGTATGTTAAGAGGTGAGGGTACTGCTATGGAACATAAACGCCTTAAAAGCTCTGAACCTGATTCAAATGCAAGGGAATCAGGTGCCAATGAGATCGCCCCTGTAGAAATGGTCTACCAGAAGTTGCCTTCAGGGAGCAAGAAGAGCATGTTAAGAGGTGAGGGTACTGTTAAAGGACCTACAGAGCATACAATCTCAAAACCTGATTCTAATGCAAGGGAGTCGAGTGCCAATGGGATTGCCCCTTCAGAAATGGTCCACAAGAAGTTGCCGTCATTGAAGGAATCATCTCCTAGAACTCCCCCCAAGGATCCCCTTAAGGTTTCAGTCGACAATGCTGTTCGTGCTGAGTTATCCCTTGAGTCTAATGCTGCTCCCCTGAAAACTGATTTATCTCGTGACTCACAAATCTGCAAGACGATCGCTGCTAAAAGGAAACCTGAAGGTTGTGATAAACATATCAAGAAAAGACCTCTTGAGTTGCGTATCCACGACGATGACCTTTTGATCACAGCTATTGTAAAAAACAGGGACGTCGACTCCTACAACAAATTTGCTGCAAGCTCAGATTTTTCGGTTGCAAAGTACAAAAAGCTTAAAGGCCAAAAGAGGGCTACCAAACTGCTTGGAAAAGGGGGGACAAACCTATTGGGTGGGAAGAGAATAAGTCTGGCACGGAAAACTGTGCTCTGCTGGTTGATTGCAACCGGCTTTCTGACCGTAAAAGATGTTATTCAGTATCGGGATCTGAAGAGCAACGAAGTTGTTAAGGATGGGCAGGTCACCTGGGAAGGGATTCTTTGCAAATGTTGCGCAAAAACCTTATCTGTATCAGAGTTCAAGGCTCATGCTGGTTGCTGTCTGCCCAAGTCCTCATTAGGCCTCTTTCTGCAGTCTGGCAAGTCGTATACTCTATGCCAGTTGGAGGCTTGGTCTGCCGAATTGATGAGCAGGAGAAGTGATGCATGTGGTAGGAAAGTCGAGGCGATGGATGAAAATGACGATACATGTGGTTTCTGTGGAGATGGCGGTGAATTACTTTGCTGTGACAATTGCCCATCAACATATCATGAAGCTTGCTTGTCTGCCCAGGTATCTATGTAGCTTCTTTTTGCTGTTTATCCATTACTCAGATACGTTTCAAACTTTCAATGATGATGCTACCGTCCATTATTGTTGTGATGTTTTATTCCAGAAAATGTGTCTGTAGGAATTAGGAATTTGAATTGACCACTTATATGATGAAGTTTGTTTGATAATTTATTTACTAGCTTTTACATCCGCAGGAGCTTCCAGAAGGCAGTTGGTACTGCCATAATTGCTCATGCCGGAAATGTGGGACTCCAGTTAGTGAAAATGAGGTTCCGTCATCCTCAGATATCTTGAAATGTCTGCAGTGTGGAGATGCATGTAACGATTATGACCCCTCCTCTTTTGCCCTGTCATTTGCATTATTTCTGCTATCACTAAAAATAAATACTAATTTAATGCGTATTCTCCATACTCTCTTATGTACCTTTGAGTTGGATGTGTACTTTTCAGTGTAATATATCTTGCTGGATATAATTCATTCCTTTGTTTTATAGAACCTTTTCCCCTTCTGTTGATCCAAGTCGCTGTTTGGTCGTAGTTTAGCTCCTAACAAAAATGGTCTGAGAGTTTTAGCTCTCACAGAAGCTACTTTATTTTGGATTCATCTTCTCTTTCTCATCATAAATGAGGCTTGGGCCTCGAAGAAGACCCTCTCTACCTGCACCATGTTTGTCAAGGCTTAAGTTTTTGTAGCTTTAGCTTTAGCTGAGGTCGCTGGGCCATCATTCATCTCATATAACTTAGCCAGTATTCATGCTGCATGCTGCATGTAATTTATCATCTAATTTTTATCCTCAGCTTCAACTTGATATTCTCTTGTTTCTCATTGGCAGACCATGACACGTGCATTAATCATGAGATGCTGCCCTGTGATGATAAAAGATCTAACACATGGTTTTGTGGGAGATACTGTAAGGAGGTAATATTTAGTTTTATCTTTGTCTACAAGATGCTAAGCAATGCAAGACCTATGACTATCACACTCTTGTAGAAGTTATGGTTTATTTTCTGGTCCTGCATTTTTTAGACACATAATGCACATACATCTGTTCATTTATTGTTAAGTTGTTATATTGTTCTTGAGACTGATTCACCGACAGAAACTAGTACATCTTGCATTGCTTATTTTGTATGTTTGTAATGTGTTAGATGTCAATAATGTGGTTATCGAGGAGCAGACTAATTGCCATTTCATGCAACTGTTGTTAGTTTCGCTTGTGCACCCAGCAAACCGGGAGCTTATGTTTCAGACATTCTGTTTAACCCCCTTCATATTTTTTTCTGAAAGCATTTCTCTGCAATTGTTTGTAACAGATATTCCTTGGACTACATAGTCATGTTGGGATAGAGAATATTATTGACAATGGGCTTTCATGGACCATATTGAAGTGCTGCAGTGATGGTCGGAAGCTACATTCTGCCCGGAAGATAGCCCAAATGACGGAATGTAATACAAAATTGGCAGTGGCTCTTACTTTACTGGAGGAATGTTTCATTCGTATGGTTGATCCTCGAACTGGTGTAGACATGATACCACATGTCTTGTACAATAAGGGGTAAGTTTCATATTTACTTTCTGGTCATTATCCCCTGCACCATTGATTTATCTCAGATAATATTTGCGTTGCTTTATAATTTTTCTAGCATCTTATTGAGGAATCTATTCTATTGAAATCTTCCAATTGATCGTTGGCTGTAACTAAAGTCTGACAAAGCAAAAAGTAATACCCAAAGTGGTCGGACCCTTCCCCAGACCCTGCGCAAGCGGGAGCTACATGCACTGGGGCTGCCCACTTTTTTTGCATCAATGTATATGATTATACGTTAAGTTCCTTATACTAAAATTTGGATCTGCACGACCTGTGACCCATTGATGTGACTGCAGATGTGTTACGATACATACCCTAATTTTGGTATTTTTGTCCAACACTAATTTCTACTCCCTCCGTCCCATAATATAAGAGCGTTTTTGATACTACAATTATCGAAAACGCTCTTATATTATGGAACTGAGGGAGTAGTTTCTAGTTATATATTTTTGGCACAATTATTTTGCACCAAGCATGCTCTAGTACTTGCCACATTAACATTTTACCCAAACAATTTCGACGCCTACTAACATGGAGCACATCTCATCAGATCAAACTTTGCGCGCTTAGATTATCAGGGATTCTACACTGTAATCCTGGAGAAAGGTGATGAGATTCTATGTGTAGCATCTATCAGGTATCATACTTGGTTGTTCAAAACTTTCTCTAGGCAGTACGTCATTTTTTTCTTTCTGAAGTATGTTTATGCTTTTGCCATTGGCTGCTGTCATAGTTGCTCTATAAATTATCGTTAAGAGCAACATGCATGACTAACATATAGACCCTTCAATGGGTCGAAGGCCTAGAGGCCCACCAGTTATCCACAGTTCTTATGCAGTCTGTACATCGTTGTTGTAAACTATGCAGTAACATATTCTGCCCATGGCTATGTTTATGTCTGGAGTTGAAGCTTGAGATATTTTCTGAAGAACACTCGTACATCCATGCTTCTTCTGTTCTTATTTGTTAAATGTCGTTAACCAATGGTAGTGCGAACTTTTCATAATGGAATTTCTAGCATGCAAACCTAACTTGGTAATTCAGGTATTTCCTAAGATCTCTTCATTCTGTGAATTGTTACAGTTTCAATTGGTAGGACAGGCGTTAACATAGGTTAATTTCCTAAGATCTCTTCATTCTGTGAATTGTTACAGTTTCAATCGGTAGGACAGGCGTTAACATAGGTTAATTTTCTACACAACTAATATTTTCTAATTTTCAGCTCATATAGCAGACTTTCCAGAAAGGTGAAAATATGTTGGAAATTAATTTGTGAACGGCTATCATATATTGTGAGCTATTTCCTTCATCTGCAACGCCATGTTTACTGAATTTCCCTTTACTATCTTCTGTGCAGGTTACATGGGACCAAAGCAGCCGAGCTGCCTTTCATTGCTACTTGTGTGGATTATCGCCGTAAAGGGATGTGCCGAAGGCTGCTGGATATCATTGAAAAGGTAGGTTCACTAGGATTTCAACTGTATTATTGATTTTAGGATGTGGTATTCTTCCTTCAAAATAATTGCGCTGTCCAGTCGGTCACCATGTTATAGTCAATCTTATTTGCATGCTTCCACATCTCGATTTGACCATGTGGATTTCATTTCTTTCTATAATAGATGCTGAGATCGTTCCACGTCGAGATGTTGGTCCTTTCTGCCATCCCAGAGTTGGTTAATACATGGGTCTCGGGATTTGGTTTCAAACCTATCAAGGATGATGAGAGGAAGCAACTTCGTAACGTTAATTTGATGTTATTTCCTGGGACATCCCTGCTAACCAAAAGATTGGATGGAAATATGACTACAAAACCAGGTTAATTGTCTTATCCTACTACTCTGCCATCAGCCATGTTTGTGCTTACATCGTTTCATTGTTGTATCCTGCAGTTCTTCCTTCTGTCCTTGCACCTATAATAATCCTCAAATTAACGTGACTATGCAGAAAAGGAAGAAGGCACACATAATGTTTCTGGATTAACTAACGGGAAATGTTTGCCTGACGGGAAAGCACATGAGCATCTTGAACTCCGTGACCTTGAACTGCCAGAGGAGTTGAATAATGAGGTTGCAATGAATGGTTCTTTGAGAACACTAAAACGTGAATTTAGTCCTGCAGCATGGTTCAATTCCACTAAGGTTTGCTTCATCAGCAATATGAGGCTTTTAAGATTTTATTGATGCAGAAAAACAGACTAGTTTTCGTTTGCAAAACATTATGACTTTCAAGTGCTGTAGCTAAGCTTTATATGAAGAAACATCTCTAGCTGATCAAAACAAACATGCCGTAATTCGATTGCAGTGTCAATTTCAAAATGGTTTATTCAACTTTAGTGCTGTCCCCCACTCCACAAAATCCAGGGAAATGCTGAGGCTGAGGTTCTTGCCTGTGTAGTCTGAACAATGATTTGTCTGTTCATTTGTATTTTACCTGTTCTGCAATATGCATAAGGTTGTGCATTCGTGGTGTTTGACTGTTTTTCATTGTACAACTCATAGTGGCCCAAAATATAGTAGTTTGTATTATATACATAACAATCCAATTTCATCGATAATAATGATCAAATCCTAATGTTTTGCAGCTACAAGCACATGAGTACTTTTATTTTGTCATCATATTTTGCTGAAGGTATGCTATCATAACCAAACATCATGTTCTGCAGCTAGCTGTTGGTGAAGTGTGATTTTCTCACAATATAAGACATCCGGACTCTATCCTTGGTGGTCGATCAGCGCTAGCCAACTTTGTCTTGCTGATCTACGGCTAAATAATTATGTTGAAGCTTGCTGCCTGCTGTGGTCATGCAACTATTTCCAGGTATGATCTAATGACTCGTCGGAAAGAAACCTGTGACAAAGAGCCTTTTGGCTAACCCTCGTTACATGTGGCAATTTGGGTAATACTTTGAAATTCTGGGTATGTTGTCATGATTGCAATTTCCTGCACCCATACAGGTGCAGAGTACAATGCTTTCGGGTAGAAAACCATTAATAAAAGAATAGACAAATTGTTATTCCATTCTAATTCACCATTTTTTGCTTGTGATCAAAGATACAACCCCTTTGACAAAAGAAGATACAACCCCTTTGACAAAAGAAGATACAACCCCTTTGACAATGACTTTTTCTCATTATATGTCTGATGAAGAATCATGGAATATGTAGTCATGCAGAAGTACTTTCTGATGAGAAATCCACCAGTACACTTTTTTATGTTACAGCTTTAGTTATTTTTTGTGTATGTATGCCTGTGATCAGTTTGAAGAGGTTGGCTGCATGCAGTTTAAATGTTCATACGTTTCAGCTTCTTCCTTTTGTCTTAGCATTCATTGTTTGTATGCTCTGCAGTCCCAATGCTGTGCGGTGGATGTTCATGCACACAATAACCAGGCAGTAGCATTTTCCAAAGAAGGCGTCGTCAGGGCTCTATGTTAGTGAATCAGAGGACATATTCATCCAAGAAAGTTTCTGAACCTGGCGTGAAAACAGTATAGCATCTAAAAGAACCCGAAGAAACCACGGCATGCAAAGCCGTGTTTTGCTCTCTTGAATCAACTACGCTTCCTGACATAGAGCGGCAGACACGTCTGTGCGGGTCTCCAGGACCCGAGCTAAGGTAGAGTGGGCATTTGAAGCACAAGAAAAGATCCAGACAGGATTGTAATGCATGAAGACCCTTAAGCCCTCGCTGACGGGAAGATCTTTCATTGGCACAAAAGGGTACCATGGAAACAGAATAAACATGTGAGCATTTAACCCTTCACCGCAAAGATGGAAGCAGTTTGTAGAGCAATCCATCCGAGGGGTTCCAAGCTGGAGGCATCAGCAAGAGGGCGCCCGCAGGGACCAGAGGGGATTGTCATACGAGCTTGCTGAACGGAACTCTGGCAAACCAACCGTCGCTCTCGGGCCTGCGGGCACGCACCCGCGAGCTGCTGACGGCATCCATCCATCGTTCAATATACGCTGCGACACGTACTTGAACGATCAACATTTTGTTGCGTTATGGATCTATTTTCAAATTTGAGAACTATTACACTCAGCAATATATACTTGACATTTGACACCACGGTCGATGGCTTACCAACACGTTCTGTTGCATGGGTTGTGGGCATTGCCAGAACTGACCTTCCTATTGGTTCTTGACCTGCATCAGGGCTCAAACGTTGGCCAAGCGTGCAGCATCCCTTCATCAGATGCAAACTGGGGCGACTGTGCTAGAAGCAACAGTTGTGTCGGGAGAGTCCCTCCTCCCTCTCCACCGGTGCAGTTCATTGTCGGATTTCGTGCTTGCTCTGCTGGTACCGTGCATGCCTTGCAAGCGAAGACAGCCTAGGTAAGCGCACACTTGGACCGGGCATGGCAGTAAGCTGTCCAAACTACGAAGTTCACCGAATCTGAAGATATATGTTTGTGTATTAGTAGGATGTGCTGATAGTAGTACGCATTATCACTCTCCTTCTGTTTGAGCTTTGATGTAATAATGTTTCCACAAGAAATCGCTTGTAGTATTAGCAATGCTCAATCGGTCCGTACTGTACACAGTTACGTTTCTCAGGACACATTATGTTTTCGGTGCAAGATTAAAAAAAAATCTGATAGATAATACTCCTACTTACATTCAGAAATAGGTAGATAAATACTCAAGCGCATTCATATAAAGAATGGGGTGGACATTTGATCGGGCACGGCACGAAAGCTATCCAAACTCCAAAGGCTGCACTTCACTACTGAATCTAAAGATACGTTTCTGTACTAATAGGATGCGCTGGAATGAACAAAGCACCCTTGCTCACTTTAATATCATCATGTTGTGTGTCTGATCTGATGCAACATAGTTCTCACAAGGGCTTAAAAAGAATCACAGTTCTCACAGGAAAGCTCTTGTGATATATACTTAGATAAGACATGCCGGATTAGCAAATGTGCATGGATCAAACTCTCTGTCGTATTACAACCGTTCCTTACTGTACAGTGTACAGAACAAGTTGTCGGTGCAAGAGAAAAAGGAAACAAATCGCAAATCCACAGATAGAGATAATACTTCAATGCGAAAATACATAGATAATACTCGAGTTCATTCATTCGTTCTACAGGGGAGGAAGCATTAATGAAGCAAAGCAAGCAGCAAACAGAAATACAACGACAACCGACAAAAATTCCTCTCCTCAAGAGAGCTAAACCTTTGACAAAAATTCCTCTCTCATAGGTGCTCAGCTCAGACAGAGGATATCTCATTGTTGGACTCTCCTCCTCCTGCATGGCTGCCCGCCTTTGCTCCTCCTCCTTCACCTGTTCTGCCATAGTCCTAGGTTTGAGCACGTTTCTTCTGTAGTACTCTACAACAAGGGCAGCGACGGTGAGGAGCTCGCCACCATTGCTCAATTGCTTGGCATGAGAATACCCGCTGCATCTATACCCCGCGAAGCACAACATCTCCACCCACACTTCAGCGATCATCTCTAGCTCAACAAAAACATTTTTGTGATTCCATGTGTTATTCATCATGTTTACTAGAATATATATTGTTTGAACTATTTTGCATTGGTTAATGCATCGTTCTTTTTCACTATCCTTTATAGATTCTGGCATATAGTACCCATATTCACCGTCCCTTCGTGTTAGCAAGGCGGCAATGGGTGGTCCTCAGATGGAGTTCTGCTGTAGCGCCCGGATTTGCGTGGCTGGCCCCTGTTGATGGCTTTGGTGGAGGTGTATGTCTACGACCATGTGGATGGCGCGATGGTTGGATGTGATATCGGGCGTCGCAGCTTCAAGGTCGTCGATCGACCTGACGTGGTTGCCCTCCTTAAGATTTGGATGGCTCGGTGGTGTACCCAGACCCGTTCGGCTGGATGGTGGTGGTTGCAAACTGTGTTACAACGACCTCTTGCGGCTCCATGACGGCAGTGGTCACCAAAAGATCTCCGGGTGAGTTCATCTTTCCTGATTCGGCGGTTGACTTCGACGACGGTGAGATGCAAACTATGGACAAAGACTTGATGCAGGCGGATCGTTGTGTAGTGGCGGTAATCGCACATCACATGTAGCGTTGGGATAGTAGAAAAGTAGTGGGGACTACACATGAGTGACCCCGATGGTAGTTCTATGTGCACCCGGTCTCAAGGTCAAGGGTGAAAGCTTAGGTTGACCCGAGCTGGTTCATGTCAATGGCGATGATTTTTTTAGGAGAGAGCCCACCACATCCCAAAAGACCGACCTAAAGGGAGTGTGACACTCTCCCTTATAAAGAGGTCCTAGCCTCCTCCCATATCTGACGTGGGACTAAAGTCAGTAGCACTGCCCAAGGTCAGGTCCTTAACAGCCGCCGTCCTTTTTTAGGCTAGATTATAAATTTCGGAGTGACTAACGAGTCCCCCGGCGTCCAACTAAATGGCATGTCACCTTCCTTTTCTACTACTCCCCTACCTGCTTCTGGCGTCCTTTATGCAAAATTGCCGCCGCCGCGAACTCGTTCCTAACCCACGCCTGTGTTCCAGGACCATTCAAAAGGAAGGGCCAACGGCTGCCGCACTCTCGCCAGGAAGGCGTCTTCCATGATTGGGCGCATAATGCTGACGGCGAGTTCATTCTTTCTCATGAAAAAGAAGGAAATCCCCGCGTCTATGTAGGTTGATGCACACAACCCGATGCGCAAGGTTACCGAAATACCCTATTTAGCACTTAAGACTCAAAATCGCACACATTTATCGTCGCGCAAAGGGCGAGCTCTCGCGCTAGCCACGTCGGCACAAGTAGGACAAAAGAAAACTCAAGCTAGCGAACAGGTTGAGCAGGAGCGCCTCGTTTTGATTGGAGAAAATAATCTTTGTGTGTCATGGCAAGATAACCAGGAGGATTTGCCTTCCTCACGAAGGAAAACCTCACCCCTTCCCTTCCCTCGCCGCCGCCGCTCCCTCCCCTTCTCCGCCGCCTCCCCTCCCCGACCTGCCCCTCCCCTCATCTCTGCGCCATGGTGAAGCAACGCGGCGACTCTCCCCGAGCTGCACCTCTCTGACTGGCTCGGGCCCGACGCCTCTGCTCGCCGCTGCGCCTACGGATCTGAGCTCGCGCGCAGTGGCGGTGGTAGGAAGGTGCGGTGCTGCTCGTTCCCACGGCAGCGATGGCAAGAGCTAGAAGGCGGGCGGCGCCGCGAGCTCTTGTCCTGAGGATGCAGCAGGAGGACGAGCACAACCCGGACGACGTCCATGCGGTCATCGGCCCCTACTCCGCCGCGGCAGGCCCCAACACATGGTCGCGCTACCCCCCACCCCACAACATCGTCTGCGTCAATCTGAAGCCCTCACAAGATGGGAACAAGGTGGGGATGGAGATGTGAGTCATTTTCTTTGGATCTCCTGCTCAAGATTTTGAAGCTTTCTGTCACGTGTCGAGGATGTCCAGTGCAGAGGAGGATTTCTTTTCCCCAGGTGAGATCATGATATTATGCATCCTCTTTCCTATTTATTGCTCAGATCAGCACAATGCTTTAGTCCTTTGGTTATTGTTCTTGACCTCATGATAATACACCATGCCTTGTTATTTGCTTCTTGTGTATTCTGACAGGAGAAAAGAGCTCATGGCACTTTCAAGATATAGAGAAATCAAATGTTAAAAATAGGTAACTATCAATCTATTTATTTAGTGTATGATGTTGTCTGAAAATTGTATCTTTATCACAGCC